GCTGTGGCTGCCCCTGGATCCCTGGAAGTGTCCAAGGCCAGGTTGGACAGGGCTTAGAGCAGCCTGGGCTAGTGGAAGGTGTCCCTGCCCATGGCAGGGGAGTGGAATGAGACGATCTTTAGGATCCCTTCCAACCCAAACCATCCTCTGATTCTGTGATTAAGGTTGAGTAAGAAGCCCCTTCCCCTTCCCTCACATCTGCACATCCCCTCTCACAGCTGGATTCTGGTTTACAACTCCTCTTTCCATGCTACAACACTAAAATATTCACAGCAGTTCCAAACGATGTCACGAGGCTGAAAGGGCAAAACTCCAAGTCCTACATGTTCATTTCTCAATATTAACTCTATTGGCCTTTCAAGGAACATTTTTTTCCCACTTTGTTAACTGGATCTCGCACAGCTGAAAGCAGTTCTTCGTGCCAAAGAGTCCCAAAACGCTTCACAAACTCGAAATGCAATTTTAACAGGGTTCTCCTAATCCTCCACTGAAATGCAGCCAAGCCCTCAGCTGAAACACGGGCAGCCTTTGTGAAGCAGACAATTAGAACCATAAACACACACCACATTAACCAAATGGAATAGAAGGCGGGACTTTAGATAAGCAGAAATCCGTTGGAGACATCGGGATTAACGCTTTTCCTTCCCAAAACAGGCTCATCAAACCCTTTTTGCACTGTGGTCACTTCAAGTTTACAAAGGAGGGGGGGGGAAAAACTCAGCGTCGTGCGCGACGAAAGGAATTTCATCCTGCACTTTGAGAGGCTTTGATTTGGAGAAACCAGGACTGAGCCTCGCTGGCAGGAGAGAAAACACGAATTATGGGGATGGAATTGGAGTGAAGATAGAAGAGGAAGGAGCAAAGAGTGGGAAAACATCCAAGGGTTCAGCGCAGGGCAGATGTGGGGTGGTACTTACGCTGACACGTCCCCCCGTTGGTGGGATCCCCGTAGTAGCCAGAAATACAAGTTTCACAGTGTTTGCCCGTCGTCAGGTTCTCACATTTCTCACAGATGCTCTCGTTGACACACTTGCTGTGCCCGTTACACTGGCAGGCTGGAAAAAACCCCAAACAAACAGGAAAAACTATGAGTATTTGGGCACAAATTTAGTATTTGTGCTCAAACGGACCCTCAGGAGAGTGGGTTGTGCAGAGGATGAATTAAACCTTTTCCTGCACCTTCCAGAGAGGTTCCTGAAGTCTTAATAATCATACACGAACTCAAAGAGAGGTGGGCTTTGAAAATCTGGAATTAAAAGCAATAGATGGACAACTGAACTCCCAAACATTAGAGGCACATTGGACTGGAAGCTGCTGGTGGGATGGGTTACAAGGAATGGGTTACAAGTCATTTTTTCCTGTAGGTTTTGGGTCAGAAACATGAGTTAAAAATCGCCCTGAGCGTTATTAAGAGTTAAATCAACCTTCAAAGGCCTTTCTTTCAAACAGAAACGCTGCTTCTGTTTCACTTATTGAAAAATGAAAAAACAAACAAAAGTGAAAACCTCAGCAAAGGTTTGTGGGGAAAGGAAAAATGAATAGTTAAATCTTCCTGCAGCACAGCCCTGCAGCTCAGCTGCATCTCCAACTGCAATTCCTGCTTCCATGCTCTCCTATTCATGGAGGGAACACAGACCCCAACGGACTGGAAAACTCTCTCCCCTTGCATTTAATTGCAAAGTTGGCCAATTAAAGCCTGTCCATTTACCTGGGCACTGGATGAAGGACCAGCTGTAGCTGTTCTCCACAGGGCACATGCTGACATTGAGGACGGGCTCCAGGCTCTGCTTCCCGGTCGGGGACGGGCTCGGCATCCTGACGGGACCCCGGAAAGAGCCTTCCATGCACTTCCCCTTCCCGGTGTTGCTGGGATCCGTGCACCACCCACAGCCAGGCTGCTCCAGGCAGTGAGCACACGTGCAGTAGCCTGAGCAGTTCTCAGCTGGAAAACAACCCCCAAAAAACCACGAAATTAGGGAATAAATCACCACCCCGAGGCGACGACGGACGCGGGAACCCCCGCGGGGCTTTTACGACCTCAATATTTATCTCACCCAATCCATCCATATTTATCCCAGTAATATATATCCATATATTCATCCCTATCAGCATATTTATTCCAGAATCTCAGCTGACAAAGGTTGCATTCATCAGTGAGTGATAAAACAGGCCCCCCCTCCAGCAGGTTTTCTGAACCATTACACAGCACCCGCTAAATCCAGAGGTTAATGTTCCCTCTCCAAAACATCTCCCGTTGATTTACAAGGGATCAGATGAGAAAATGAGCCATCTGGAAGCAAAAGCTCAAAAACCAGCCTGTTTACACTCTTTGAGTCCCTTCCTACCACATGTTTTAGCATCACACGCTATTATTTCAAGCACTTGAAAAGCACAGAACACAAACACGGAATAAAATTCCACCCTTTAACCCTCCCGTTCTCTAATGGAGATTGGATTTCAGGGGTGACAAATTCTTCACACACAGAAAAGTTCTTTTCTTCCTCTGCCCAGATCACCTTTAAAAATATTTTGTAGATTCTTGGTGCTGCAAAGTGAGCAGACTTTCTGTCTTTACGTTTAAATTGACAAGATTTGCCTTTAAAACAGGAAAAAAATGTACTAGAAAAATGTTGTTTTCCATTATTTCAGCTTACTCATCTCCTGCCTGATGCTTCCTCCAACTTTTGACCTCTGGCAATAGGGGAAGTTCATTACTCTCCTGTTTGACTGTTCCTGAAACCCATTTTCTTCACCCTTTATTTTGCAACACTTTTGAGTTACTTGCTCACACTCAGCTCGTAAAGATTTCAACATCAATAAAATAGCTTCTACATCTTCGTTTGCTTTTAGATTTTTGGGGCTCTTTCACCCCAGTTTGAAAAAAAAAAAGCAATATTCCAAAGCACCATAATCTTGGTCACCAGAAATCTTGGCCCCTTTTACCTAAAATGGGTAAAAAAATGAATTAATTCTTTAAGAGAAGTTAAAAATTTCTGGTGTGGGGCTGTAAGGAGAC